ATAAGTTTTTTTGTGTTGTTTGATTCCTCACCACTCGCTGGATGAAAAGGCATTTTCGTCCAGCAAGCGGTTGGCAACTGGCATGAACAAAGCGTCGGCATTTCTCTGTCTCGCTCGCCCACTGTCACTTCTCACCCACCCACCCACTCACTCACTTACTCACTCACTCACTCACTCACTCACTCACTCACAGTGGCGGATCCAGGGGAGGGCAAATAGGGTAATTGCCCCTCCCAAACGGCATAAATTTAGCATTACGCTTAGGACGGTGCATGGAAAGAAACAATTTATTGTTATGGTTTGCCCTCTTAACTGGATCCGCCAGTGGTCACTCACTCACTCACTCACTCACTCACTCACTGATCACTCACTCTCAATCAATGTGCCTTGCTCAGTGCTCATGCCTAAGGCCATTTTCCTGATCTTTCAAAATAACCCTGTGGCACTGTCGTTCTGATTGTGCGTGCATGCCAAATTGTAGCATTTCCCTTCTCGCAGAGTCCGCAAGTCGCAACCCATATCGGGGGACAGTCATGTAGACACAGCTATCTGTAAGAATGTGGTATGACAGTTTGACGTTTGTGAAAAGCGATAATGTGAACACATACCTATATTGCACAAACCGGTTTCGATACCTATTACTTCATCAGTGTGCAAATATATAAATAAAACACAAAATGCAAAATTTGTCTTTTAAACGTTAAAAAAACGTTTTTCAACGTTTTTATTTCAAAAATAAACGTTTTTATTTTAAAATAAAAACGTTTATTTTAAATGAAATAAATAAAATATTTTTATTTATTTAATAAAATAGATACCTAAATATTAAAATAAACAAATACGTTTAAAATAAAAACGTTTATTTTAAAATACAAAAATAAACGTTTTGTATTTTGTGTGTTTTATTTATATATTTGCACACTGTTGAATTAATATCGAAACCGGTTTGTGCAATATATGTGTTCACATTATCGCTTTTCATATTTGTAAGAATCTTTGACACGGTGTCGTCTGTCGACAGGCATATTTACGTCTGGACAACGAGTTGCGGGGAAAAGTGCTGATTTTGTTGCAGTTTTAGGAGCCGGTGATAAGGCTGGATTTTTGGGTTACTTTTTCGTTCCGATTCATGTATTTCATAGTGTTTGGCTTTTGAATATTTTAGTTCTTTCAGATAAATATTACTTGCCTTACAACTTTTGTAAAAACGTTTCATTTTTTTTTATAAGCCGACCTTCAGAGTCCTAAAAATACATCAGCACTACAATCATTGTAAACAAGCAAATGGAAGACCACTTGGCTCTGTTCCAAGGCGCTTTTTAAGTTTATCTGGTGGTTTCCGTACTCTTGTACGTCGTTTTGTTGGATGTTTTGGATCCATTAAGGTTGACTTATATCATATTTAAGAAGCATGTGACTGAAAACAATCCGAAGTATCCAGGAGGCTGACAGAGGTCCTGACTCCTGAGCAATATCAATATCAAGTTGAACTTGAAGTTATTAAATTTTGGTTGATAAACGCAAGTTGATCGGGCTCATATATCAGCAAAAAAAGTAACATTAAAAGAGCTTATTGGCCGAAAACAAGCTATAATATTGCAGATCCTGGAGCAATACTGAAGAGCACGCTGAGCAGGATCATGCCAGAAAATGTTGACTGATGAGTGCATATTGATGTATTGGTATGAATATTGAATGATAACTTACAACAGCAAGATAAATTAGTGCTAACTATCAAGTTAAAAATCTAGAATGAATGGACTTTGGCAGCTTTACTATGCTTAGATGCTGTGCAGATTGTAATGTGCATCCTACTCAGTGTCTGGCAAATGAAACATGCGATCATTTCATTGCTACTGCAACTGGAGGAGAAAGCTTGGATCACCAAATCCACTTAATGCTGATTTTGATGTTAATCATTACTGTATTTCTTGAAAAAAGGATTGTTATAAAATTGTCAATGTGACAATCCATGCCACGATGTGATCATATGATGTGTTCATAGTCATTCATGATAGTGATTCATGATTGTTGGTCCAATATACAATGGCAAAGCTCTCAGTCTCAGCGTTTCTTCCTGTGGATGGCCAGCAGTGACTCACAGCTTAGAAGCATTAGTTTTCTTTTCTTCACAGGGCTGGGATAAAAAGTACTGAGGGTAATCTTCCACCAAGGAACTCTACTTTGAGTTTTGACATGGTATGAGATGTAGGCACAAGTAGGTAGGTGCTTAGTTCCTATAGTCAGCAGTTGTGTAGGTTTAGTCGAGTTAGCTTAGATTAGGTTATGCTAGTTTTTTAATTTGCGAAGTGTCCAAAAAAATGTGACCTGAGCAATGAGCATACCTGAATATAACCTGACAGCTGACCTAACCTCAATCATCACAAATATTTGCAGCCTTACCCAAGACCTGCATAGCAGAAGCACCCAGTTATAGGTAGGTACTCACCCTAACTCAATCTTACCTGCTAACCTTCAACTTGCCTATAGTTAGCTCACCTTGCCAAGCTGCATCCAGGGAAACAGTCAACTGAGGAACTGGCTCATTGGGTGGCTGGTGTGAGTCTGTGCATTGAAAGTGTTTCTTCTCTGAAGCTGCTCTGCACTGCTGTATGTCATGTTAGATGCTCAGAAAATGTGGGAAATGATTACTAAGCTACTTTAGTGCTTTGTTAATGCTCGAGACATGAACAAGTGCAGATCCTGCAGGGTACAGCAATGAGTTAGGTGCTAGGTGAGTATGTTATGTGAATGTGCTGTTCCCTGTTTGACCATAGTAAGTATACAAACAAGCAAAGGGTCACAGTTATATTCAATCTCCACATAAACATACAACAAAAACGGCCATATAGCCTCACTCCGAACACACTGACACCACAAATAGCTTAAGCCTTTGTAGGCACAAAAATGCTTTGATTTACAGGACAGGTATACAATATAACCTCTGTCCTTGGGGATCTTGCTGCCAAGTTGAGGTACGATGACTGAACTTCAGGATTGATCAACCTTTTCTTCTTAGCCACTGCTTATATACGAGAAAGACCAAATGCTTGTTTATAAACTGCCTTGAAAATTTAATGATCCACCTTCAATTCTGACATGAAGGCACAAGTAAAATAGTTCCCACTCCTTTTGGAATACACAAAGCAAAATATTTAATAACTTCTAGTGGATGGACAAGAGCAATTACCACATCTTCTCCTCAATTCTGGCACTGATGAATAACACTGACGCTTATTCGCTTCATATTTTATAACAAACGCGCAAAAACTGCAATATAACAGCACTATATGCTTCTTGACAAAATGCAAAAGTAGTAAAAATTTAGCCCTGATGGCATTCATTCTTGGTGGAAACGTAATTAGAAAATATTTTGTAGTAACTATTAAATTCCGGCCGAAAACAGTGCACGGTTTAAAAAAGAATCATTCCAATGGCGGTCCATTCTTGCGGTCCTGAAATCGCCACTATTTCCGGCCTCTCCAACGCAACTCGTTGTCCAGACGTAAATATGCTGTCGACAGAGCATATTCCCTGACCAACCCAGTGGGGTCCCGGACCAGACGGTGCTATCGCCCCGTGAGCGGTTATGGACGTAGACTGTGAACTGTGGGTCATGGACTTGGACTCTGGACTGAACGATCATGTGTACTTTGCGTACCTACCATGTGTGTACTGTGTAGACGCCGGAGTCGGACGGTTCACACTTCAAATAGCAGATAGCTGTCTTAAGGTAAACCAAATACCTACAGAACATTGTTGTTTGGAGACAGTTCTCTGAATGTGTGCTTTGATGTATTTAGGTAGCTATGCCAAATACAACGGTCGAATATCATATCTCTCATCCCCCTTGTCAGGACGGCGTCACGGTGCCTTCGCCCGCCTGTGCGTGTCCGCGAGGTCCTCAAGTGTTTCCGCTAGGGTCCCGGCTGCCCAGAGGGTACCGACGGGTCCCCTTACGTCCCCGCGGGCTGACGGCGCTGTCGGCGGGCTCCCCGGTCACGCAGCCAATCAGCGAGCTACGTGCCTCTGGTCAGCGAGCCGACGGGCGTGCCTGACGGCCGTCTGCCGGCGGTGGGTGCACGTGACAGGGCATCGGCCGCCCGGTTAGCCAGGGAGCAAACGACACCCGCGGGACACGCCCCAAACCCCACCGCGGGGGAATGGGGAGGGTGCGGCGCCACGGTATAAAAAGGCAGACGTCAATCGCTAGAGACTGGGTAATACGGTATGTGCCTGCGTGTTTTAGATCTCGGAGATACAAGACCGAAGACGCAGGTTTCACGACTATCGGATTATTAGGTAAATTAATTGTCTAAAAGTCGTGGCGATGAAATGCGAATCGTCAGAACTTGGAATTGGGACGGCCACCGCGGTGCAATAGAATGGAAAAACCTGAGGACACGATGGGACATTGAGCTTATCACCTCGTGGCCGGACGAGTAGCCCCATCCTGCCCAGAGTGGCGGCTACACTCGGCAGCCCAGCGTCACGCTCGACGGCCGCAGCCAAGGTCGGCGGGTGACGAGCGACGTCACGAGCCGCCGCCGCCGGCGTGACGGACGTGACGGCGTCACGCGAGCGTGGCGCGCGGCACGCACGGCCGCCGGCGCGGAGCGAGCGGTGGGAGCGCGCCGGCTGGTCATGCTGGGAACGGGCTGAGGTGGGGACCCGGCTGTCACAGTGTTATTTCCGGTCAGCGGAGACTGGCCGACTTCATATTTGCACGAATGTCTCTATGGATACTGTTTGAAAGGTATCGCGGCTTCGACTGAGAGAAGGCCCCGTCGGCGATCATATGTCAGCCAATCACCATAGCAAATCACCACGCTTGCAATAAGACACATACTGATCTGGTTTTGTTGTTGAAAGGCACTTCCAATACAAGCCAGTAAGAGGAAAGTAGTGTGATATAGGCTACATGTGTTCTGGCACCTTTTCCGTTTTTTTTTTTATCCCGCGATAGGATGCATTACACGGTTATGGTTTATAACTTGCAATACGCTTGCATTGTCATTTATTCATTCGATCATCAGCTTGCGACTTGCGCGTTAGCAAATGACGCTATTGACTGGCGCATTCGTGGCAAGAATTGCCAGTCACGATTTATGAAGCTCACGATCACAATTCACATACATGTATGATGTAGGTATGTTATGCATTAATGTGTTTTGCAGGCAAACGAGCTACCTGTACCTATTGTGGCGTTTGTCTGCCCGCCACCGATCACTGACCACCGCTGTCCGTGTGCCCCCAATGACGTTTCAAACGTTACACACTGTCTGCCGCCGCCACTGACCACCGCTGTCCGTGTGCCCCCAATGACGTTTCAAACGTTACACACTGTCTGCCGCCGCCACTGACCACCGCTGTCCGTGTGCCCCCAATGACGTTTCAAACGTTACACACTGTCTGCCGCCGCCACTGACCACCGCTGTCCGTGTGCCCCCAATGACGTTTCAAACGTTACACACTGTCTGCGCCGCCACTGACCTGACCCCTGCCCGTGTCTCCCTACAGTGATGGTAGCCGCGAACGGAACACTGGCGGTATCGGCCGCCGGCGCGGCCATCGCCGTCTCACGCGCCTCACCGGCGGGCGGTGCTCGCGCCTCGCCGATGGCCGCTCTCCAGGACCTGTCTGCCGGCTCTCCGCGCGCCAGTCCCGGCTCGGCACCACCTCGGTCCGCCTCCAGAGGATCGCCGCACTCGCCCAGTCCAGGTCAGCCTCGCGGTGTTTTCACGCCTGGATGAGGTCCCCCTGCCGAACGGGGCACTCGGGGTCATGAATCGGGGGCGGAAGTGGAGAAGCCTCGGGTTAAGGTCTCAGTGGAGACTGTTTCAAAGTTTGTTGCTAACTCATGGTATCGGTGACGCAGACCCGCTATCCGTCCTGCTTTCCATCAGAAGGAGTACCGCGCGCGGCTGCTCAGGGAGCAGTATGGTGATAATTAGGATTTCGAAACGTATATGTGATGTGTTATTTTATCGGTTGCACCGTATGGCACATGTTGGTATCCTTCGTGTGCGTGTATGTGTCTGTGTGATGTGAGAACCCTATCTCTGCCATATTGACACGACTGCCGAGAATAGTCATCCCAGGATGGAACGGACGGTTATAATGTGAAAATAAATAAATAAATAAATAAATAAATAAATGAATAGTTATCCAGGCGGATGGTAAAAGCTTTGCTGCAGCTCAGATGAACGTACAGGCCTGGTGTGGGGTCGGGCGCTTATAGCACGTCGATGCTGGGTCTTACCTTGGGCCGAGCCCGAGTCTGTTTGTTTGGGTTGGCACTTGGCAGTGGGGTCCGCTGTATGTGTGTGTTTGAAAATTCCTCTGACGATGCACTATACCGGTATCCCCCGGCCCATTCTGCAGGGTAGACGTTGGTGATTTGACATCGGGATGCAGGGTGACGAGCGCATGATCTCATTGTGAGGCTGGCACGTGTCTCGAGCTGGGGGCAGGGACTATTTGACGCACGTGTGTGCGATATACAATGTGTCAATGTTTACCCACATCGGAATCTCACGTCAGCTTTAACTTTGCAATCCTGGCGTGAGTGGCACAAAACTGAGCAATGGCAGATATGTTCCCTAAACGACAACGACGCCTGCCTCTTCCCAAAGCAGCTTGCGATTTCCTTCTGTTCGCTGTTCGTTCCGTTGATTGGATTCTGTTGACTGTGAGCTGCGGCGCACTGCCCCGATGGTGCTGACCTCTGTCGTGTCTGTGTTCTCAGGAGGCGGCGCGGGCACGGCGGCAGCGGCGGCGGGACGACGTGTCTCGGGGCCCCGGCCAGGCCCCGCTGAGGGCGGTCCCGCCGAACAGGGCGTGGCCACATCGACCGTCACCGACCCGGTGCCCAACGCGCTGCTCAAGTGCACCCTTTGCCAGGAGCGGCTGGAGGACACCCACTTCGTGCAGTGCCCCTCCAAGGGCCACCACAAGTTCTGCTTCCCCTGCAGCAGAGAGAGCATCAAGCGGCAGGGCTCACACACCGAGGTGAGCCCGGTTCTTGACCCCTCCTGGTGAGCATGCCGCATGGAGACGGTGTGCATTGCGGAAGTTGGTCCATCTTGAGTTGGTCTGCGATTTAATTAACGGATGTGCGATATACTAGCGAAATGGAGTGTTCCTAGTCATATCTTTTCTTCTGTAGAGTGACTACAGTCGTGTTCCTGGTCCTATTCTTTCCGAAGAGGCTACAGTCGTAGCCTCTATGACTAACTCAGGCTCTGACGCTTAAATTTTAACGCAAACGATTCGCTCCAGCCTTTTGATAGACATGTCGATTTGAAGTTTCAAACGAGTGTTTAGACACTGTGAAACCTGGCGGCCATTGCCCTAACTTGACGTTGGTGTGTTTGCTTTTCAGGTGTACTGCCCCAGCGGCGAAAAATGTCCGCTGCAGGACTCCAACGTGCCGTGGGCGTTCATGCACAATGAGATCACCACCATTCTGGGAGAGGAAGTCACCGTGAAGAAAGAGCGGGACCCGTGAGGACCGGTGGCACCGCCAACAGACACGCTTCATTCCTGTTCTCAGTGCGAGGTTCAACTCAGCAACCCTGCAGACAGACGAAGAGGGTGTTCGCAGAGAACTTCAAGCCAGATGGATGTTTTGACACGACCTCAATGGTCGGATTGACCGGACACTACATCTACCGAAGGGCATGTGTCCAGACATAACCTCTAGCTGGCCGAATTTACGGACAAAACCTCAACTGACCGAATTTTTGGACAGAACCTCAACTGACCGAATTTCCGGACAGAACCTCAAGTGACCGGGTAATCGGATAGGACTTACTTGTCGCCCTGGAATAAAGTGGCGCCTTTTCGAGCACTGTCGTGGCACCGGTGTGTCTCATTCCGTTTGAGCTGGACATCAGGTGGTGTGGTGTTGACCCGTACTTCTACTTCTGGTGTACAGAAAAGAGTTCAATTGTGAGTTGTGTGTAGACAGACCAGAGAATATGTGCTCGTGAAGCAACGCAACTTCTTCTGGCGTTTCAGGTGCATTATGTTTTTGATTGTCCTAGGAGCACTCGTCATTTTATTGGTGGCGGATTCCTAGTCAGTTAAGCTGTACGATACATGTTGTCTTGATAGGAACTCTGTTACTCGCGGTAGGTTGTCTCTCAAGCTCGCCATTTTGGCGCAGTATTTGTCCGAGCCATCAGGGTCTCCTGTTAGTGGCTTCATCGGGAGCCGGCGAGCCTGAGTGGCGGTTGTAGAATCGCACACCGCGATAGTGCGGTTCTGTCCTTGCATCAAGCGCTGGTGGACCCCCGCTCACTGTCGCGCGTGTTTAATCTCGCTTCCTTGGACCAGAGAGCTGCAGCATCAGCAGCTGCTGATCTCGGCGCCGCTGGTTTCATTGTTCTTCACTCATTGTGTCGTGTAGGTCGTGGAGTAGTTCTTCAGGAGACCGATTGTGGGTACGATGTAAGCGTGCTATTGTTTGTCGTAAGGGCAGGCCGGAACTGGCCATAAATTTGCACCTCTGAGCGCGACACGATGCATCTGGTTGAACACCTTGAACACGCTGAAGGCACCTGCGTGTGATGATGTTGCTGGTATGCGGTTATTCCTGGTGACAGCCATAGTGGAGGAGCGGGACAGTTGCACTAAAACCGCCTACCTACTTGTCTGATGACGTCCTCATCTGGCCTATGGTCCGTGGTACTTACTGCAAGTAAGCGGCTGTAAGGTTGACCGAAATGGTTGAAGCGATGTGGTTGAACCAGGAGCCTGACGCTAAAACGGTTAGCAGGCAAACGGCCCTGTGCTATGTCTCTGACTAACCATAACTAATGTCAACGCATTAGGTGGCAAGCATCCCAGTGTTGTTTTTTCATTGTAAGAAATGGTACTTTTCTCAAAGCTTTTTTTGTGACTGTGGAGTGCTTTATATTTGGCTCTACGTCTACATCCTACAATAACAACGTCGCGAAACACCGTTGTAAAGATCGAAGCGACGGTCCAGGTCGTTAGGACAGCGATTTATTTTCTACAAAGAAGCCCTGCTATTGTAAAATGTTCATCTAACGGTGTGCCGAGAGATTTTCGAACACTTTATTGGGAGACTCGTTTTACCTAAGCGATATGCTGTCAGAACCAATATGAGTGAATCTGCTTGATACAGCCACTCGATACTGGAGATGCCGCGGTGATTCCGTCAGTCCAGATCACATGTGACATCCACATCTGCTAAGTAACTGGAAGCAGTGCATCCGAAAACTTGATATTTCTACTGCTTATTTACGAATAAAATCAAATGTAAAATACCACAGTATTTGGCTCGCCACTTGCACGGGCACCACGACCCGTGCCAGAACAGAACTATACCTCCATAATGCACTTGTATGTACGTACCTGAGCGTTTTCGCCTAGGTAGGTATTGCTAATTGCAGCCATTCCATCTTCATAACGCGGACGGCCATTATGATATAGGCAATCATAGGTATCTTCCAAGGTCGCCGAGGTCCCATAAGGTCACCAAATTCAATTCAGCACGGATCCACGGTCAACTCATAGATACCTACTATCAGGATAACAGAATCGCATATGACGACAAAATGACTGTTTCGTCTCGAATTCGATGGGTCCAGCCAGGGGGCGTCGAAGTCTAGTAGGAAAATCTGGCAATCCCCGGCGTGACGTAACGTCGGGGATGACCGACGGCACCTTGCACTGAAAGATACGGCAGAACGGCTATTTTTGAAAAATGATTAAAAATACTTTTGTGCTGTTATGACATATAAAACGCTTATCAGCATGTTCCTCATCATGTGATAAAGCCATATCCGTGGTCGAAAATAGCTGAGCCCCTCCCAATTTCCAACCACCGACCTCATAAGCAAAAGATGTAAGCGTAATCCTTAAGGGCGACTTTCCTATACATATCCGTACATATGCGTCCTTATGGAAACCGGTAGTGTGGCAATTGGCGACGCGCGCGACATCTGTGTGGCGACCAAGTGGCGACTGTGGCGACACCTGGTGGTTGCTTTTCTGCTGTATGAAGGCATTGGGGTTTTGCCAGATATGGTTCCTACTGCTACACAACTATGTTGACCCAATACTAGAAAGTTATTTTGCCAGTAAAAGGCAAGCAAATTGAAAGTCAACTTATAAAATTGCTTATAAATGATAACGAGGAAATAATAAAGAAGTTTTGATTGAAGAGTTATTAAAATACCCAACCGTGTAACTATATTCTGGTAGGTTTAGTAGAAAATAGTCCGTGCAACCTTGTATTTAGGGCCTTGGGTCCAGCCAAGGTTCTTCGTCCAGCAGCGCCCCGTGATCATAGGACTCTAGTGCCCTGGGGCTGGGGCCGCGGGTTCACTTGGGGTGGGGTTATATATTTCAACTGTGGGGTTATAGAATATCTGATACCTACCTATATGGCAAAATCGTCAAGTTAACTTTTTAAGCTCAACGAGGTCATTTTAGGTCACCATATTCAAAATTGTGTGTATAATTGTCTACCGTTATTTGAATAGTGCTAATTCTATCTTAATCTGCTGTGTGGTTGCTGATTTATAGGGTGGTTGCCAAGGTGGCTGTAAAGTAGTCTTGTCCGTCGAAAACGGGTGTGAATGACAGTGAATGCGACGCAGATTATTCAAACAGAAATAAATGATCCTGTTCGATATTCAGCTGACGTGATGTAGTATGCCATAATGGGATCTTGCATATGACGTATAAATATAAAAATCAACGGCGTTCCGGCATAAATTGTTGAATATTATATAATACGATGTATTGTGTTGCAAAAATTTATTTCTTATTTTTTCATGATCATTGACTTATCAAAAATCTTAACTTTTGCGGTAACGAAAACTGGGTCCAGTCCAGTCTCCTTGGAAACTGGAGCACATAGCAATATGCCGAACAGGGCTGTTTCGTTGTCCAGAAGCGTCCAACTTGCGTCCAACAACGAACGCATTGTTTATGTGATTAATAAACTTATTCCTGTATCCGGCGGTTGTTCCCTGGGTTGTCCCCAAGTTGTTCCATTCTGTTCATAGAAGAGCTGGAGGCTTACATCCTATTTTTTTTTGGGGGGGGGGATTTTGTTCAAATCCCTCTTTTGCACCACTTTTGCACCCTAGGTTCAAAATTGAATAAAAACCGCACTATGCTGTCACAAACCATTTTAAACCTAGAAAATTGTTAATGCAATTATTTAATGCTAAAAAATCAGTTTAATACAAGCAAAAAATAAAAAGCTTATTTAAGCTGACCTAACCTTACGGCTTACCTACTAGGTAACCTACAAACCTACAACCTCAGTAGGTGGAACTATGGTCATGAGTACCCAAATATAGGAACGTTCCCATTTTTGGGAACGGAGTTCCCAAATATGGGAACGGGCGTTCCCATTTATGAGAACGGAAGGTTATTTTTCAGCTGTTCGCCCACTAAAACTCATTAGTGCATCACGTCACAAAAAAGTGCACGCTAATTTAAGTATCTACTAATTCTCTATAAAATTATCTTTAATCTGACCGTGGAACGAGGAAATTGACCGTCAAATGATATTTTTAGTGATTTTTTGAAATGACGGAATGGTGAAAACATGGGTTATACTACATTTAACATGCAATTTTAAGGACAATGAAGCGTTTTTTACATTTTGAGGTCAAGTATAATAATTTTCGCCTGGTTATGAAGTTTCATACTAGCAACACCAGATGCTGACATATGCAAGCGAACACGCGGACAGTCCCGAGGTAATATTGTTGACTTTTGGTGTCGGGGCGCACGACCGCGTGGAACGTCAGTAATTTTACCGAACTACTGTTGTAAACTCAGTTTCAGTGGTTTAAAATTATTCAGCTGTATTTTATCAGCCCGGAAAGACTATTTTATTTGGATGCTAGCTGTTTAGCGTTGTTTTATAAGGAGCGTCATGAGCGTGGTTTTTGTCTTCCGTGTTTCTAAGCATGATCGTTTTGGGGGAATTTCTCTTATATAGGTCGCTCTGTGTGGCTTATTTATAATTTTTATGCTGATTTCGATCATTCTTCGTGCCCATCCTACCAGACCTTTTGCCACTTACACTCATTAAGAAAGGAAAAAACTAGATTTTCGTTGGGACTAGTTGTTTTGAGGGTGTAACACATTCAGCGTTCCCATTTTTGGATACTTCCTTGTGCTCATCAACTATCGGTGATAAACAGACAGGTGCTTGACATGTCTCCACCCTCGGCGCGGACGGTGGATATAAGTATGGAAGACCTTGTTGAACATCGCTGAGCGTTGTGAATTACGTAATCCTGCAGAGGGGTGCGTGCCCGCTGCGAGATCGACGGGAATAAAAGCACAGAGACCGGGCGAAACATGCGACGGTCTTGCCGGAAAGGTCATCTGATGATTGTTGCGTTAACAATAATTTGCGGCGTTGGACGTGATGCTTGTTCAATGCTTGTTAATGAAAAGAGCCCCTGAAAGACGTCGGTGAAATCGTTCCCAATTTTGGGTACGCCGTTCCCATAATAAGGAACGCTTGCAGCGCCAGTGTACGAGAGCGTTCCCAAATTTGGGCTCGCAGCCCGGATGATGGACTGCTTTAGAAATAGGGGAACGATTTGAAACTACGATGGGCCTTACAATAGCAAACTCTTTCCCAACAATATTGAGACAAATATCAGGCGGTTCACGATCGTTTAATATTTTTTGGACGTCATTTAACGGTTCTTTTTCTTGTTTTAAATAATGCCTACATGGCGTTCCCATATTTGGGTTTAACGTTCCCAAACATGGGAACGAAAATGCGTTCCCGAAAATGGCTACGCTTGACCATAGTTCCGCCTACTGACCTACACCTACAACCTATCAACCGGCAACCTACTACCTATCAGCCTACACCTACCAACCTACAACCTACCCTACAACCTAATCTACAACCTAAATCTGCTTATATGCCACATAACCTTACCTGACTCAACGAGTGGTTGGGTGTAACTTTGACATATAAATGTTTTGTGTAAAAAGTATCATAAGTACCATAAGTACCTAACTACATGTGATCTCACTTCTCTACCTTAGAAGGATGTGTTCTTTTTTCATGATTTTGTTTCGTGAATTTCCTCTTGCGATGTGCTGATTTTATTTATTTTGCAGGATTCTGTGTGCTGAAGGTGCCTTCTCCTTTCTTGGCAATATGTCGGCACTCAATAGTTTGAGTGCGCAGTACACTGATTCTGAGGGTGAGGATGACTCCCATTCGCACCACAGTAATTCTCAAGATGAACCAGCACAAGTCCCTATCAATATTGAGAGAGAGGAAGTCAAACCAGTTGATGAGGAGAGCAGCTCAAACATGGGTAAGAAATCATTTTTTGCTTCTGACTCAGACTGTCTGACATTTCAACCTAATTCTCATCACAGGAAATACTTTGCATTTCAGCACTTATGAAGGCCTTAGTTCTGTCAGAATGAGAATTTGCATCAAAAGCGGGCCTGCAAAGTGTAAGTGGATGCAGCACTAGTTTTTATAAGAGTATGCTTGAAAAAGGAGTGTACATGTTTATTTTACACTAGGTTTACTTGTAAAGGCCATCTTACTTTACATATCCTTTATCCTAGACAACCCCACTGTTGACTGTAGTTTTCTGAATGCAGTGGCCCTGGCTGCTGCACCCCCAATTGTTGCACCCCCAACTGCTGCACCCCCAACTGCTGCACCCCCAACTGCTGCACCCCCAACTGCTGCACCCCCAACTGCTGCACCCCCAACTGCTGCACCCCCAACTGCTGCACCCCCAACTGCTGCACCCCAACTGCTGCACCCCTCAAGTGCTGCACCCCTGACCACTGAACCCCTAACTGCACTCGCTGAGTGCAGCTCACACTCACCTCTGCCTCCGACAGACCGCCCGGCACGACTGGTCTCCTACATCGGGGACCCGGAGGACGACAGAGACAGTGACGATGTGGAGGCGGGCAGCGACGACATGGACATCTCGCGCTCGGATGACGAGGGGGCCGAGCAGGGCGCCGGAGACGCGCAGGGAGCCGGAGCCGCCGCCCGCAGCGCCGATGATGACCTGATCCCGCCGGAGCCGCCGGGACGCTGCTCCAAAGACCTCCAGGTCGGTAGCAACTGTCAGCTATTGACGGTGGACGCGTGAGGGTACGGGACTGCTGATGAAACCATGATTTGGTTGTTATTTTGACTTCCTTTATTGATTTTTGTGTGTGTGTGTGTGGACATTGCCAGTACGAAATTACTTTTTTTAATGCGAGTCTGAGGTTGTCCGTGGTGAACTTCAAAAATAGATTCGAAATCGTTGAATTTTATCCGGTGATGACACGCTGCTGTTAATTTCGATGTAATGAAATCGTTTATACGACCTTTGCTCAGAAATACTACTAACGACCGAGCTGGGTTTAGAAATGCTCCCAACGATTGAACCATGTGCAGGTATTCCGTGGCCCGTGTGACAAAGTGCGGCCTCATTCACAGGAGATGGTGGCCAAACTGTGCCAGAAGAGGCTGCGAACGGGCGCAGACATGAACGACAAGCTGCGGGCGCACAAGGACTTCCGTAATCCCTCCATCTACGAGAAGCTGATCCAGTTCTGTAACATTGACGAGTTTGGCACCAACTACCCGCCGGTGAGCCGGGGACGGGGATATCACCTACTGGCCGATGAGCCGGGGAGGGGAGAACGAGCTGCCAACGTTTGGCCTGTCAACACTGGCTAACCTCACTAACTGAAGTTTGAACGACCTGAATTTGAGATCACTATTATAGTCATCAGTTTTATCGTAGTGCAGTGAGTAAACTGTTTATTCCTCAATTTTTACGATTTACAAAACTATACTCGGCCACCATTGGCCATCCCACACGGTTTGACATGTCAATTGAACAACTATGCGTACGAAGTTGCTCGAAACTTATTTTGTTGGACTTTTTTCACCATAATAAAGGCCGAAACTCGTCTCCAGCCATTGCATTGGCATGATTTTGTTTATGAGAAACTCGTCGTGTGGCCGTGCTCACACGTTCTCTTTGATCGCCATCAGGAGCTATATGATCCGTCCATCTGGGGAAAGCAATCATACTATGAGGAGCTCGCCAAAGTACAAAAGGAAGACATGGAACGCAGGGAGAAAGAGAGGAAAGAACGCACAAAGGTGAGAGAGACAGCCCCGAAATGTCGGAAGGAGCCTCAACTGGATGGTTGTTGTGTATCAGTCTTACCATCTTTCTTTCATGGAGCCGCATGCTTTTCTATGGGTAGTATTGCGTTACGCTAGGTGCTCAGCAACTGCCATGAATATATCTTGTCCTCACTTATTTTTATCACACAAGTAAAATTACTCAGTTCGGTAACTAAATCCGATGGTGGTGACCTTTGTCCTTCCATACACGAGTTTTCCATACGCTTGTTGATCATGGTCCCTTCTTCAATAGCTCTTGAGTCGAGTACCTCGCGACGTAGGATGGCGTGCGGACAGATGTGTTCTGCGAACCCCGCTCCAATCTGTTCTGATTTTCTGAACCAATAACCTGTCGTCCCGCTTGTTCGGTGCTGGTGTGTCAGCTTGCTGCGGGGGAGGGGGAGGGGTCCGGGTTGATTGGAAGCTTAGCAGCGTTGTGGGCGGTGGCTGTATGCTAATGAATAATGTGTTCTGTGTGTTTGTGCGTGTTTGAATTCACACCTCGCCATTTTTGTTCAATCGTTTGACACTGAACCCTTACACCCTCGTTTTATCCCGATTCCCGACGATGCAGTTCTACGAACTTTGATTTACTAAACCTCAGCGCTACGAACGTCGATCAATTCTAGTCTCGCTTACCGATCTGAGTAGCACTACCAATGTCTACCATACTACATGTACATTATCTACGTCAATTAAATACAATCCGTCAATGCAATACAATACATTTCAGGTGGAGGTGGTGACCGGTACGAAGAAGATGACTGGCGAGCCGGCCCGGCGCAGCAAATGGGATCAGGTGGGAGCCCCACACGCGGGCGGCGTGCCCATCATCAAACCGGCTGGCCTGGCCACCGGACTGGCGCCGCCCTCCAAAACCATACCGGCCTTCGGCAGCATAGCCAAAAAGAAATAGGGGTTTGATGGGAAGAGTGGTTGTGCGTGGATGTGTGTTTTGTGATGGGTGAGCTCAGTGAAGGCCGTGGAGAAAGTGTTATGTGTTAATGTGTTGTGTGGATGGTGTCACAGCATGAAGAGGATGTCGTGATGTGGTATTTTTCGGAGTGAGAGAAGTGTGAAGTGTGAGGGAAATGACGTCTTCGAAGGCTCTGTGTGAAAATGATGAGTGCTGGGCTTGACAGTGCATTTCCACTGACGTGGCTTCGTTACTTGACAAAGCGGCGGCGCTGTGGAATTACTATGTTTCTGGCACGGCTCAGAAGGCTATCTGGGAGTCTCTCCCCCGGAAAGAAGCTGCTTTTTGTTCTGAGGGAACTGGAATCTTACAAGCGGCCCTGTTCAATGGATGGCGTGGCGCTCCCCAGTGGTGGAGTATGGAACTAACAATTTCACTGATTGCCGCGTGGGGTTCACGAGGCGCAGGCTATGTGTCGGCTACATGCCGCAACATATTTTAACGTGTCGGGTCGGTGTTATCCATTTGTATCATGAATTGTCTCATCATTTTGTGCATTCTGCGTTGCCAGTTTTCAGGCTGACTGTGTTTCACTGGTCTCGCTCACAGAAGCATCGCCTGCATTTAATGATCACGTAAATGCTGTGGTGGAAAATCGTCTGCCTTTGTGCGCTATCATTGCAGCGCGAAATACATGAATCTTGTGAGTTGATACTTTGGCTGGTACCTCGTGTATCGAGCGAGTGGTGACACTGATGGTTGGCTAAATATTCGGTTGATTTCTAAACAATGTTTGCGACTCCGCTGGGATTTTCGTAGCGGACACCCGCTTAAAGTGTTACTGTTGAGTATTGTACTTGGTGTCTGTCGATGACAAATGGTCATCCATCATAACGCTCACAGATCACGAAAACACTGATGTGTGTTACACGCGTTACGCATCCCATGTGGCGGGACACGATCCTTATACAATATCACTTTTCGTTTCATATCGTGCTTCCATAATTAAATAGTTCGAATATTGATGGGCGTACGACTTCAAACATTATTGAAATAATCGCAAATCGCTGGCATTCTTATGCCAATGACGCCTTTACATTGTGACTGAGGTGCAAGCATGGCGTCAGCTGAGGGTCTGGCCTGGCGGCCAACGGGACATCCATGATCTGCATCTATCACATGAAAAATAGATGTCTGGCTCCCAACTCAAAGATCAACGGCAGCGTCAGTCACAATGTCGCAGGATGAAGCGGCCGTCCTGTTTTGATATTTCAAAGTTGACGAGGTTCGTCCGCACATAACTCGGCTCGCTATGACCGTCGTAAATCGACAGAGTCGCGCAACTTGGGCTCGTCCGTTTGCCGTACTGTGCCCGTAACTTTACGTCAGTGCTGAGGCCGGAAAAAGCTGCCACCGCTGCCGCTCTGGGCTGTGGTTCACTGGAAACCTCTGTGTGGTAAGCTAGCATTGACGCGGGTGGAGCGGTAGTGATGTCATGTCTACCTCGAAGCCCAGAGTCGTTGGGAATTGATATCCTGCCGTGCCGTCTACCTCGAAGCCTAGAGTCGTTTGGAATTGATACCTTGCGTAGCAACATGTAAAAATGGAAAGATCGGTAAAACTGCCGTGTCGTCTGTGACTCATTAAATGTCAAATTTTATGAGTCATTTTAATGTGGATGATACCTACTTCTGCGGTGAATAGATGATTTTACAACGTCCTCATCTTGGAAATGAGAAATCACACACAGCAAAAATGATATAAAATTGGAGCATGACTGTCATCCATGCCGCTTCGAGGACTAACCAGTAATCAGTGATGTCCATCAAGTTAGCGTCGTATTCGTATTCGTTTTCAGCAGGGGCGGATCCAGGAAAACTCCAAGGGGAGGGTCATGAATCGAAGTGGTGCCCCTGCCTATACCCAAAATTAAAAACTCAACGGATTTCGTCCACTTCATTTTGGTGGTGCCCCATTTTCAGTTTTTATTTTTATTTTTTATTTTTAGTCAGTATCTTAACTCTTAGCCACAACCACATTTACCAATTGTAAGCAAGTATATATGAATGTGCTATGTGTATATGTATATGTTGTGGACGCTGAGTAGTGAGTACTTACCAGGAACGTTATCAGGTAAGCAAATCGTTGTCAGTCCGACGAACTTGACACTGGCGTCTAAAGGGTCTGTCCTTGACACTTCAGGCTTGTCAGGGGCACCAAAGTCCTTCCAGGGACACCACAAACCTGTCAGGGGCACCTATGGCCTTGTAGGGGCGCCACAGGCCCGCCAGGAAGCAGGTGCACCACAGGCCTAGCAAGGACACTACAGGCCTGTCAGGGGCACAACGGGCCTGTTGGGCCCATGAGCACCCCTAGGGGCAGGGGCACCACAGTCCTTCCAGGGGCGCCGCAGGCCTGTGAGGGGCACCAGCGGCCTAGCAGGGGCACCACTGGTCTATCAGGGGCACCACGAGCCTGTCATAGCCAGGCATCTCAGGCTTGTCAAGGCCCAGGGGCACCACAGGTCTGTGAGGGGCACCAGCGACCTAGCAGGGGCACCAGTCAACACAGGTCTGCCAGGGGCGCCACAGACCTGCCAGGGGCACCACAGACCTGCCAGGGGCACCAGAGGGCTGCCAGGGGCACCACCGGCCTTGCAGGGGCACCTTGGGCCTGTCAGGGGCACCACGGGCCTGCCGAGGGGCACTTCAGACTTTTCAGGGGCACCAGTCCTCTCCGGGCGCAGGGGCACCAGAGGCCTGCCAGGGGCACCAGCGGCCTAGCAAGGGCACCAGAGGCCTGCCAGGGGCACCACAGGCCTAACAAGGGCACCACGGGCCTGTCAGGGGCACCTCAGGCTTGTCAGGGCCCAGGGACACCACAGTCCTTCCAAGGGCACCGCAAGCCTGTCAGGGGCACCAGAGGCCTGCCAGGGGCACCACAGGCCTAGCAAGGGCACCACTGGCCTGTCAGGGGCACCTCAGGCTTGTCAGGGCCCAGGGGCACCACAGTCCTTCCAGGGGCATTACAAGCCTGTCAGGGGCACCAGAGGCCTAGCAAGGGCACCACAGGCCTGCCATGGACACCACAGGCCTGCCAGGGGCACCACCGGCCTTGCAGGGGCGCCTCAGGCCTGTCAGGGGCACCACGTGCCTGCCGGGGACACTTCAGGCTTGTCAGGGGCGTTACAGTCCTGTCAGGGCCCAGGGGCACCAGGCCCGTGGTGTCCCTGCTAGGCCTGTGGTGCCCCTGGCGGTCCTGTGGTGCCCCTGTCAGGACTGTGATACCCCTGATAGGCCGGTGGTGCCCCTGGCAGGTCTTTGGGCCCCCGGGCCTCAAGGGGGGGGCCATGACCCATGTGACCCCCCCCTTGGATCCGCCCCTGGTTTTCAGCGTCGAGTTCAAAACATCGCCAAACTATGCCAAACGATAGATCTTGACACGCTGATTCCAAAAATATCACTCATTTTTTCCTAGGTCAAATATTTTGACCTCTAGGGGCAAAAAACCTCTCTGGCTATAAACAACAATAAGGTACTTCTTTATTTACCGTCCGATCGGGCTGAAACTTACACAAAACATGTGCCGCCACACAGGGATGCGTCACAATCAACAAAATCGCCGATCGAGGTCAAAGGTCAAGGTCATATTTGCGAAAAACCGTTATTTTTCGACGGGGTACCAAATAAAAACTTTATTTACCGTCCGATCGGGCTGAAACTTACACAAAACATGTGCCGCCACACAAGGATGCGTCACAATCAACAAAATCGCCGATCGAGGTCAAAGGTCAAGGTCATATTTGCGAAAAACCGTTATTTTTCGACGGGGTACCAAATAAAAACTTTATTTACCGTCCGATCGGGCTGAAACTTACACAAAACATGTGCCGCCACACAGGGATGCGTCACAATCAACAAAATCGCCGATCGAGGTCAAAGGTCAAGGTCATATTTGCGAAAAACCGTTATTTTTCGACGGGGTACCAAATAAAAACTTTATTTACCGTCCGATCGGGCTGAAACTTACACAAAACATGTGCCGCCACACAAGGATGCGTCACAATGAACAAAATCGCCGATCGAGGTCAAAGGTCAAGGTCATATTTGCGAAAAACCGTTATTTTTCGACGGGGTACCAAATAAAAACTTTATTTACCGTCCGATCGGGCTGAAACTTACACAAAACATGTGCCGCCACACAAGGATGCGTCACAATCAGCAAAATCGCCGATCGAGGTCAAAGGTCAAGGTCATATTTGCGAAAAACCGTTGTTTTTCGATGGGGTACCAAATAAAAACTTTATTTACCGTCCGATCGGGCTGAAACTTACACAAAACATGTGCCGCCACACAAGGATGCGTCACGATCAACAAAATCGCCGATCGAGGTCAAAGGTCAAGGTCATATTTGCGAAAAACCGTTATTTTTCGACGGGGTACCAAATAAAAACTTTATTTACCGTCCGATCGGGCTGAAACTTACACAAAACATGTGCCGCCACACAAGGATGCGTCACAATCAACAAAATCGCCGATCGAGGTCAAAGGTCAAGGTCATATTTGCGAAAAACCGTTATTTTTCGACGGGGTACCAAATAAAAACTTTATTTACCGTCCGATCGGGCTGAAACTTACACAAAACATGTGCCGCCACACAAGGATGCGTCACAATCAACAACATCGCCGATCGAGGTCAAAGGTCAAGGTCATATTTGCGAAAAACCGTTATTTTTCGACGGGGTACCAAATAAAAACTTTATTTACCGTCCGATCGGGCTGAAACTTACACAAAACATGTGCCGCTACACAAGGATGCGTCACAATCAACAAAATCGCCGATCGAGGTCAAAGGTCAAGGTCATATTTGCGAAAAACCGTTATTTTTCGACGGGGTACCAAATAAAAACTTTATTTACCGTCCGATCGGGCTGAAACTTACACAAAACAAGTGCCGCCACACAGGGATGCGTCACAATCAACAAAATCGCCGATCGAGGTCAAAGGTCAAGGTCATATTTGCGAAAAACCGTTATTTTTCGACGGGGTACCAAATAAAAACTTTATTTACCGTCCGATCGGGCTGAAACTTACACAAAACATGTGCCGCCACACAAGGATGCGTCACAATCAACAACATCGCCGATCGAGGTCAAAGGTCAAGGTCATATTTGCGAAAAACGTTATTTTTCGACGGGGTATTTTGACGGGGTGTTTTGTGTAAGTTTCAGCCCGATCGGACGGTAAATAAAGTTTTTATTTGGTACCCCGTCGAAAAATAACGGTTTTTCGCAAATATGACCTTGACCTTTGACCTCGATCGGCGATTTTGTTGATTGTGACGCATCCCTGTGTGGCGGCACATGTTTTGTGTAAGTTTCAGCCCGATCGGACGGTAAATAAAGTTTTTATTTGGTACCCCGTCGAAAAATAACGGTTTTTCGCAAATATGACCTTGACCTTTGACCTCGATCGACGATTTTGTTGATTGTGACGCATCCTTGTGTGGCGGCACATGTTTTGTGTAAGTTTCAGCTCGATCGGACGGTAAATAAAGTTTTTATTTGGTACCCCGTCGAAAAATAACGGTTTTTCGCAAATATGACCTTGACCTTTGACCTCGATCGGCGATTTTGTTGATTGTGACGCATCCTTGTGTGGCGGCACATGTTTTGTGTAAGTTTCAGCCCGATGGGACGGTAAATAAA